GCAGGATTTTAGTTCTGGTTCGAGGGGATTGGCAAAAGGAATCTTAGTCTATCCTAACCACATATAGAATTTTGGTTCTAGTTAAAGGAGATTAGTGAAAGAAATCCCAATTTAGCCTAACCATACAGGATTTTTGGTTCTGGTTAGAGGGGATTGATGAAAGGAATCTCAGTTTATCCTAATCACATACAAGATTTTTTGTTCTAGTTAGAGAGGATTCGCAAAAAGAATCTCAGTTTATCCTAACCACACATAGAATTTTAAGTTTGATTAAAGGGGATTGGCGAAAGAAATCTCAGTTTATCCTAACCACACAAGATTTTTTATTCAGGTTAGAGGAAATTAGCAAAAGGAATCACCATCTATCCTAACCACACACAGTATTTTGGGTTCTGGCTAAAGAGGACCGGCGAAAGGGATCCTAGTTTAGCCTAACCACACACAAGACTTAGAGTCCGGTTGAAGTTTCAAGTCAACCACATTTCAAGAAAACCAGTTTGGTTTCTTTTTACAATACTTTCTACGCAAAATCTTTGCTCCATAAGCATTTAAAGAAGGGGCAACTGTCATAACTCATTTTTGGGTTATTCCTCAATTCATATTTTTTCTCTTTTTAAAATAATAAAAAAACAAAAAAAATATTATAAAAAAATATAACAATGAAAAAAGGATGTCAAAGCACCTAGAAAATGGTTGAAACTTGGTTGAGGAGGTTCAAAAATATAAAGATTGAAATTTGACAGTATTTTATTGACTGATGAAAGCCTTGTTGACAAAGAAAATTCATTATAAGGAGGAAAAGTCCAAAATCAGATATTTACGGACTCAATTAAATTTTAATTAAATTTATGGAGAGTTTGATTGCAAGAAAAACTAATTTTGGAGTTAATTTGGGCTTTAATTGGAAGAAATTAAAGTTCTAGGGTCAAATTACAATTTTTGAAAGTTAATTTGGTCAAATCAGGAGCTTAATAGCATAAATATTGAAGTTTGATGGCCAATTAAAAACTTAATTGAAGAAATTTGAAACCATTGACCAAACTGGAAAAGGTGTGTAAATAAAGGGGCTGTAATTAAACCAAATCAGGGGTCAAATTGAAAAAATTAGAAGTTTATTGCTCAATTAAGGGTCAAATTGCACTAATTCGAGATTAAGAATCAAAGTGAAAAAGGTCGTCAACTTCAAGGTCGCTGTTTGATTTTTGACAGGGGTGCAATTGCTTTGATTTTTAAATCAAAATTATAATTGAGGACTTAATTAAACAAATTATAAATTAAGGACCAATGTGAACTGACACATTTTTGTTGCCTTTTTCTTTTAATGAAACGATGTATTTTGTTCAAAATAACATCTTTTCATCTACTGTTCAACAACAAAAAAAGATACTAAAACGGTGTTGTTTTGAACGACACTGTAACCTTTCTTCTTCCCCTAGATAAGCAAAACAGGGGAAGAAGAGAATTTTTCTTCCTCTATCACCGTCATATTATCCATTCAAAAAGACGCTGACACACCCCTAATTTTTTAGGCGGCAGCATAGTGACCGCCCTAGTTACATTCCTCCCCTGTTTTTTCCTATAAAAATAGGGGGTAGAATAGAAAAGAAGAGAGAGGGCACAAAGAAGAGAAGATAAAGAAGAGACAAAAGATGGGAGAATGAAGACAAAAGGGAGAAGATGAAGAAAAAGAAAATAACCATAGAAGGGAGAGGAAGAAGAAGAAGAAGCACCGCCAGTCACGAACACTACCACCGTGACCATAGCACCTCCACCACTAACAACCACATTCAGGCTGCACCACCCCCAGGTGACTTCCAATTGCCCTGTCTCTTTCTCCTTTGCTCAGCCGTTGTTTGTATTTGCATGCAGAACGTGAATAATTCACGTTCTGCAATAAATAATGGAGAGTTGGTTATTATGCTTAGACATAATAACTAGCCCATTTAAATAAATAATGGAGAGTTGGTTACTATGCTTAGACATAATAACTAGCCCATTTCGTTTTGCGCGGCTTCTGTCCATTTCAAAAAAAATATATGTTTCTTTTAATATTTTTTATTTTTCACTTTTTGATTTATATCTTTTTTGCTTAATATCAGTCTGTATTTCACGTGATTTATATCTGTTTTGCTTAATATCAGTCTGTATTTCACGTTGTAAAAACACAAATCCAGTATTAAATACCTAGTTTTCATCAAAATTTTAAGAAAAATTAAAAAAAAATTGTGTATACGGCTAAGTGTCTCAAAGCTAAAAAATCATATTGTGTTTTTCCATACACCAAAAAAATATTTTAGCATGTTTTTTGGCTTTAATAATCAGTTTATTAAAGTCAAGAAAACATTAGCTAAAATTTTAAAAATAACAAAAATTTTATTTTGTTTTGTGGTAGTATCATAAATTACGAATTTATACATAAAACATATTTCATATATTAAAAAAGTATTTTTTTATGACATAAAACAAATAGGTTGTTACCCAATAAGATAAGGATCTTCTTATAGAGGATGACTTTTCTTAAACCATTGATGAACCAATAATTAAAAACCACAACAAGACGTTTGATTTTATCAGACAATAAAACAATAAAGCTTACCTTAGGTAAGACATAGGTGGGGTGCTAATACCTTTCCTTTATACAACCAGTTTATGTACTCCATCTCTAAGACCAGTTAGAATTCTAATAACTAGAATATTAGGTGGCGACTCTCAGTCCATATTTTACAAATAAGAGATAAGAATCCATTGTCTCTCTATATCTTCCCAAAATAGACTACATATCTATCTATGAGATATAATTTTTTATGGTGGATAATCGTCGCGATGCCGCACACGTGCGACAATGACTATGGTGTTAAAAACAAACATGATTTGATAAAATAAACACACTCCATGCTAAAATGTGTATATCATAATATTGTTGTTGAAAAGATAATAATTATACTGAGAAATTATTTATTGAAAGGTTAAGTCAAATCACTTATGACTTTTCTAATATTTGAGCGATCATAAAATATTGCTAGACATTGTACTTGATTTAATTTATTTAATTAATTGTTAAATTAATAATGAATTAATATATTGAATCCTATTATTTTAAGATTGTAATTTTTATTTGGATCAACTTATAAAGGAATCTAATGGGTTACAAAAATAAAAATCATTAATTAGAAATTAAAATGGGATGATTAATTAAATGCGACTTGATTATAAATAAATTTTAGAAATTAAAAACTAGAATATAACTAATAGAGGATATTATAATTCTAGACCTATAAATAATCAAATAAGAAGTTGATCGAATAAATTTAAAAATTAGCATAAAATAATATGTGATATCATGTAAGAACCAAATTAATATTTTTCTATTTATATGATTTTTATATTTTCTTATAAATAAAATTTATACCTTTTATTTTTTATGAGTAAAATATAGTATAAAAAAATTTAAAATACAATAAAAAAATTAACACTCAAAAATATAATAATCTCTCCTCTTAAAAGGATTATAAGATTTTTATGATTCATGTAGATTATTATTAATTATTAGATATTTAAATAATTTATAATTTATAATAAAATAACCTTAAAATAAATATTAAAAACTTAAAAAAAAAATATTATCTTCATCTACTTTTTGCATTATCCAAAACAATTATAAGACAAGATTTTTAAGACGCCTAACAAATTCTGTACTTGTTTCGAGAAATCTATCATGGACAGGTACGGGATCAGTACAGATTCTTCCTTGTACTCTATGGGAACAAAATTCCAAGACTTCTTAGCAAATAAATGAGCGCGATTCCTTGTTATTTATTCCTTGGTCGCTTTCCAAAACTCCAGAGTCAATACGTTGTAGCTGGAGAAGGGCAACTTGTTCCCTTGCTGTCTCTTTCCGTTGGCTGCTGATCACTATTTAGTTCCTTTAACCAGCTATTAAAATCAAATTTCAACGCCTGTCGCCCAGTACCCCTTTCACAAGTCCATGCATTAATTCTAACTTCCTTTCGTTTTGTTGGCAGACACCGTAGAATAGAGGACTTTTAATGGGACTCGGCGGAAGTATAAACCTCCAAGTTCCAAACCTTGCTTTTTCTTTGCTACAAAGAGCCATTGGTTTGTGCTTTTGCGCAATCGCCAAGGTCATAGACTGCGGCGTGAAGTAATAAATTCACACGAATTTCTATAATGCATAAACCATGGTGTACACATACGTGATCTCGTGTATAGAAAAAAAATGAAATTAATCGGTAATAATACTTGGACAGTCAACCCTTTTCCTAAGAATCCCATTAGTGATATATTAAATGATTATAAGCTATTTAGATAGATGAGTACAGAAAAAAGTAATAACATGACATTAAAAGTTATTTTTTATCGAACCGAATCATTCCTACAAATTATGATTTGGGTTCTTGCATAAAAAATCTAAACATCCAAACCAATTCATGAATCTACTCTAAAACAATCATATTATAGTATAATGATGAAAAAAATTAATTTACAGTCTCAGTTTCCTTGCACAAAAGAGATAAAGAACATCCTTATAGATAATAATCATCCTCTCCAGTAAAAACCTTTTATGCCTAGACTACTAATAGGAGCCACATGAACAAGTTCACTATTAGAGGTGCAAGCCTTTCAAAGCAGAACGGTGAAGGTTAAATCTTGGTGGCACGATAATGGTCACGTACATGTACCAGGAGTTCTCACTTGGAGTTGGAGCTCAAATGCCTCAAATCGTTTAAATATCAAAGTAGCCTTTGGTAATTTTATGTATTTAAACTATAATAATCTCAATATTGACAAACGCCAGTTTCTGCCAGATAGTTGGATTTGACTACACATATTTTTCCATTCTAATCAAACATGATGACCATTGGTATTTACAGGAAATATGAACCAAGCATGCTCGATATTTTTCACCCACACAAGCCACCGTAAAAGGAACGTCAGCCTCCAAAAACCCACTCTCAAGGGTTTCTTTCTTTGCGTGGTCACTGTTTACTCTTGCTTCTCTTACATGCGAAGAGCCACCAGCAGGTGACCACAAGTACTATATATAATAGGAAAGGCTTACCAAAGGAATCAGCTATTTCTTTCCTGCACAAAGGAAAAACTAAGGAGCATCCCCACCGCGTTTCCCTTTTCTTTCATAGACAATAAGATGGAGATGGAAGGGCAAGCCACTGCAAAGGAATCTCAGCCTCCAAAATTCGCTCTTCCAGTGGATTCAGAACACAAGGCAACTGAGTTCCGGCTGTTCTCGGTAGCTGCCCCTCACATGCGGGCATTCCATCTGTCTTGGGTTTCTTTCTTTGCCTGTTTTGTCTCTACTTTTGCTGCTCCACCCCTTCTTCCTATCATACGTGACAACCTCAACCTCACTGCCTCTGACATTGGTAATGCGGGCATTGCATCCGTGTCAGGTGCGGTTTTTGCTCGAGTTGCTATGGGGACTGCTTGTGACCTTTTTGGACCCCGTCTAGCCTCTGCCTCATTAATCCTCCTCACCGCACCAGCAGTTTACTTCACTTCCATCGCCTCATCTTCTACTTCTTTTCTCCTGGTGCGTTTCTTCACTGGCTTCTCTCTGTCCACTTTTGTCTCGACTCAATTCTGGATGAGCTCTATGTTTTCAGCCCCCGTAGTCGGCACGGCTAATGGGGTTGCAGGAGGTTGGGGTAATCTTGGCGGCGGGGCAACGCAACTAATCATGCCCCTTGTGTTTGCCCTCATCCGTGACATTGGAGCCATCAAATTCACAGCTTGGAGAATTGCTTTTTTCATTCCTGCCCTGTTTCAGACACTATCGGCGTTTGCAGTCTTGATCTTTGGCAAGGACTTGCCGGACGGAAACTTTAGGCGGCTGCAGAAAGCAGGGGATAAAACAAAAGATAAATTCTCCAATGTCTTCTATCATGGAATCACAAATTACAGAGGGTGGATCCTGGCACTCAGTTATGGGTATTGTTTTGGGGTAGAGCTGACAATAGACAACATTGTCGCAGAATACTTCTATGACAGATTTGACCTTCAACTCCATACAGCAGGAATGAGTGCAGCAAGCGTTGGT